CAGACTATGACAAGAGCTGGTTCTAGTCAACTCTGTAAGTTGTTTCAAAAACACATTCTAAGGGCACAAAATATAAATGGTTACTGACACTTACAAGGAATAATATTTTAAAATGCTGATCAAGAGAATTATTTGGATTGATTTTATTCTTGCAAATTGTACAAAATTTTATAAAAGTTTTTTTTCATTATTATTCCCTTTGGATTAACCATAGGTTTTGATTTTTTTTTTTTTTGAGCAAGTGAAGTCTTTGCTCTTCCTGCAGCTCTGAAAACTGACAGCCGGTACAGATATAGAGGTATAGGCAAAGAGCTGTAGGAAGGATCTGCAGGAGCCTGACATTGCACCCGTGATCCACCGAACTAATCCTTTATTTAGCTTTGCTTGTCTTTAATTAAACTTTCTGAAAACCTTCCAACAAAACCAAAACAAGGTTTGTAAGGCAGGGTGCTTTTGGCTATAACATGTTATTTGTGTGGTATTTTTATTTAATTATTCATTTATTTATAATGTATTTCATTTGGATTTCGATTATCAAATATCAATGTTTTAACATTTTTAAAACTACTTTTCTTTTTACAATAGTTAAGTAGATATTTGTTAAGACAAATATTTGTTAAAGGATAAGTTCACCTTGTAAAAAAAATTATAAATGCACATCTTTTTCAAGGTAAAAAAAATATCTGCATTTATAATTTTTTTATTCAGAGCCTGCTAAGCATTGCACTCACTGTCAGCAGATCGCAGGTGCAATCTCAGGCTTCTGCAGACTGTCAGTGTAATTGTCTGCCTGTACCTCGTATGGGCAGGCAGTTAGTAAATGACAGGAAGCACCAATGAACTACCTAGAGTGCCGAACAGTGCCCTGGTCATTCATTGAGAACTACAAGCTGTCAGAAGCTAAGACTGTCAGTATTTGTACTTCTCCAATTCAAAGAACTCTGCACATGAATGATGTGGGCGGAGCTATTTTGGATACTTTTTCTAAGATTATGACAGGGAGTGCAGGGAGAGGATCCCCAGCTCACTGTCAGAATTGGGGATCGGGTGAGGGGATGTGGAGGATGCTGCAACAGTAACATGTTACATGTTACACCCTGAGTACAGGTGTAACATGTCATATGTTGCAAAAGGTGAACTTATCCTGAACATTTAAGAGAGATACTTGTTATTTTTTGTGTGTGTGTATATTTGTGTGTGCATATATTTATACACTGCTCAAAACAATGAAAGGAACACTTTGAAAACACATCCGATCTCAATGGAGAGGAATCTCCTGCTGGATCTCTATCCTGACATGGACGTGGTAATGTGTTAGGGACGAAAGGACGCCCCATCGTTTGATGGAAATGAAAATGATCGACCTACAGAGGACTGAATTCAAACCCTGAAAATCAAAGTGAAAAAATCATGCAGCAGGCGAGTCCATTTTGTTGAAATTTCATTGCAGCAACTCAAAATGGTACAGAGTAGCTTGTATGCATGCCTGACAATGTCGGGAGAGGCTCCTAATGAGACCACGGATGGTGTCCTGGGGTATTTCCTCCCAGATCTGGACCAGGGCATCACTGAGCTCCTGGAAAGTCTGAGGTGAAACCTGGCGGCGTCGGATGGACCGAAACATGATATCCCAGGAACTGCCTGCATACTCTCGCCACATGAAGCCGGGCATTGTCGATTACCAGGAGAAACCCAGGACCCCCTGCACCAGCAGGAACCCAGGACCCACTGCACCTGAGTAGGATCTGACAATGCGTCCAAGGATTTCATCCCGATACCTAATGGCAGTCAGGGTGCCATTATCTAGCTTGTAGAGGTCTGTGCGTCCCTCCATGGATATGCCTCCCCAGACCATTACTGACCCACCACAAAAATGGTCATGCCGAATGATGTTCCAGGCAGCAGAACATTCTCCACGGCTTCTCCAGACCCTTTCACGTCTGTCACATGTGCACAGGGTGAACCTGCTCTCATCTGTGAAAAGCACAGGGTGTCAGTGGTGGACCTTCCAATTCTGGTGTTCAATGGCAAATGCCAATCCAGCTCTATGGGGCTGGGCAGTGAGCTCAGGGCCCAGTAGGGGATTTCAGGCCCTCAGGCCACCCTCATGAAGTATGTTTCTAATTGTTTGATCAGAGACATTCACACCAGTGGCTTGCTGGAGGTCATTTTGTAGGGCTCTGGCAGTGCTCATCCTTTTCCTCCTTGCACAGAGGAGCAGATACCGGTCCTGCTGATGGATTAAGGATGTTCTACAGCCCTGTCCAGCTCTCCTAACTGCCTGTCTCCTGGAATCTCCTCCATGCTCTTGAGACTGTGCTGGGAGACACAGCAATAGCAATGACATGTATTAATGTGCCATCCTGAAGGAGTTGGACCACCTGTGCAACCTCTGTAGGGTCCAGGTATGGCCTCATGCTACCAGTAGTTACACTGACCCTAGCCAAATGTAAAACTAGTCAAAATCAGTCACAAAAGATGAGTAGGGAAAAAAAATGCCACTGGCCTCCACCTGTAAAACCATTCCTGTTTTGGGGGTCGTCTCATTGTTGCCCATCTAGTGCACCTGTTGTTAATATCAGTAACACCAAAGCAGCTGAAACTGATTAACAACCCCCTCTGCTACTTCACTGACCAGATCAATACCCCAGGAGTTTCATTGACTTGATACTATACTCGGATTAAAAAGTCGGCCCTTAATTTTTTTTAGATATATATATATATATTTATTTATTAGGAGATGTTTGAAAATGTATTCTCTGCAGAAAAACTATGATTTAGCATACATGAAAACTTCAAGTTAGTAGAATATTAACAGATACATTATTCAGGACATTTCAAATAGAATTAGAATTGAAAGCATATGTAAACACGAACAATGAATTTATGCTACTTGGTCTGTTGAACATACCAAATAGAGTTCTTTTTTAATTTTAATTAATTCTTTAAGTCTTTCAAAAATACAGCAAAAAGCCAAGGTAGAGAAAAAAAATCAACAATATGCCAATGTTATCGGGGTACAATATAAAAAAAGTCAAACAATAAACAGTGTAACAAAAGCAGTGACTGGTGTCTTGGTAAGTCTTTTGAAACATAAATAGCCGGCAAGATGGGGGAGGCTTCCCTGGCGGCCGCAGTAGGTGTCCAGACGATGTGATAGATAGCAGTCTCAACATGCACAGGGCAGCCTATCACATCAGTGGACTTATGGGGTCATAGCATACCATGAAAAGAAAGAAAAAGGTTGTAAAGAAGGGAGGAAAGGGGATTGAGGGGTTAGTGAGGAGAAAAACTATTAAATGTTGGGTTTTGCGGAGTGGAAACCATTGATATTCCCTTGGTTCCCCAGCATACTAACAAGCAAAAGCAACAGAAAGTCTTTGTAACATCACCCCATTGTTGATCCAAAGGAAGCCCAGTGCTGAAATTAACTAGTAAGATCAGCAGGGTAGGCTTCAGAGAAAGTGTAGTCAAACCAATAGAACCAGGTTTTGCAAAACTGCTCTTCTTTGTAATTTGACAAGGCTATCATATATTCCATTGTGCAAATGTGATGTGTTTTTATGAATCCAGACCCCCATTGTTGTCAAAAGAGTGGGACCTCTTGGTTGGTTGCAACCTTGGTTGCACTGAAAAAATGGACAGTGAGAAAGCACTTGTAACATTTGGATGACAGGGAAGCCAGGTGTAGCAGGGAGGCCACTTGGTCATCCCCAGTTGCACATCGGTTAATCTGTGCACTAGCTTTAAGGACTTGGGTCCAAACTGGTTGTAAAACCAGGCAGGTCCAAAACATTTGAAGATACTGTAGATGCCTTCCTGGGATGAAGTTTGTGAGAAGATCTTGTGAAGAGATGAAGGCACTCAACACCACCATGTCAGGATTTCGAAGCCTGCTTCTTGAACGGCAATAGAGATGGATGCCATATGACCAAATCATAAGATACAAGATTTCTGTTGTTCAGAGAAAGTAACGCCTAACTCTGGCTCCCACATAGAGATATAAGTCAGGTACTGATGGGCAGACGAAAGGGAGATCACCTTGTAGGCCAAGGAAAAGTCATGTCTGATGGGAGAGGTGGAGACTTAGAGCTTTTTAAAACTAGTCAGGGGAGATAATGGAAGAGGGGATTTCTCCAGACTCAACAAGAAATGTTGCAACTTCAAAGTGTTTAAGAAGGGCAGGGGGACCAGCCATACTTTGTAGTTGTGTCAAATATTTATAGCCTGTGGGGTGAGAAAGGCCTCAACATGAAAGTGATTTGCTTCAATGAAACGGTTGAAGGACTTGGCCATCAGGCCCAGACCAAAGTCATTGAAAGTTTTTATCACTTCTGTTCAAAAGGCACAAGAAATATTTTTGTCGACCCTGCCATAAATTTGGTGAGATTATAACTTCATACGCTCTCTCTGTGCTATTGTATCAGTTACATTTTAGCAGGTAGGTATTTTATGTGGACTGCAGAACACTAGTCCTATCCTAAGGTGAAAATGCTCATCCTTCAAAGATACAATATAGTGAGTGAGCAATGTCACCTAATGAGAGAAAGTGTGTTACTGGCAGTATTACTAAATTAAAATATAGGGAAAATAGCCAGAGAAAAAGAAAACTAATGTAGCCACTGCATATAAGGACTGGTAAGTTGCAATATATATTTTGTTCTTCTATTTAGACTCATTTTATATGAACCCATACATTTTGTCTCCAGAAATGACCAAGGATAACCACACTTTGGTGACTGAATTCATTCTTTTGGGATTTGAAGAGATTTGCAATTTCCAAAGTCTGCTCTCTTTTCTCCTACTTCTCACTTATTTGGCCACCATAACTGGAAACGTGATCATTGTCTTATTAGTGGCAATTACTCTCCAGCTTTGGTCTCCCATGTATTTTTTTCTCTCCCATCTCTCTCTCTGTGACATCATGATCAGCACAAATGTGGCCCCCAAAGCACTTCAAATCTTTGTTACAGGCAGACATCATCTCTCGTTTTCCTCATGTCTTACACAGTTGTACTTTTTTGGAGCCTTTACTACAACAGAATGTTGCCTGTTGTCTGTAATGTCTTATGACAGATATTTGGCCATCTGTGACCCTCTGCACTACTCATCTACCATGAAACACGGTCTTCCTCAGTTCTTGGTTATGGCATGCTGGCTGCTTGGTTTTCTTGCCTCTATGATCATAGAGTCTTTTGTAGTTGCGCTGGACTTTTGTGGTCCAAATATTATAGACCACTTTTTCTGTGACGTTACTTGTCTTCTAGAGCTTTCCTGCTCTGACACCAAAACGACCGACATTTGTGTCACTATCATAGCCTTTATAATTGGAATTTCTCAGGTAGCCTTTGTCATTGTCACTTATATTTGTATCTTTACATCCATCCTTCAAATCTCTTCCATCACTGGCCGCCAGAAGATCTTCTCAACGTGTAGCTCTCACTTGGCATTGGTTTCTACTTATTATGGGACACTCATTGCAATTTATGTGGCACATCAAGAGGACACTTTCAAACCCTGAATAAAATTTTATCTCTTCTAAACACAATTATAACTCCATTATTAAACCCAATTGTTTACAGCCTGCGGAATAAAGAAATACAATCTGCCTTGAGCAAAATTATTGTAAAGAGAAACTCATTAAAAGGTAATTAACTATTTCTGGACCACACATGCCCTTAAAAACATTCTCTAAGTATTTTGGACATGTATTATATGTCTGCTCTTCTTCCTTGCCCTAAAGCTTTATGGCTGCATTTACTGGCAAATCCTAACTATCAAAATGTTTCCATTTATTAAAATACCATATAAAAAGAAAACAGAGACATGGACATAAATATCAGATGTTTGCGAAGCTAATGCAAGCCTATGTATAATAAGTCCTCAAGCACACTGGATGTTTTTGGCTTTTGTCGTTCTTTTACTTTTTTTTCTACAGCTAGCAAACCCCCTAGCATGTTATCCTATGTTTCCATGCAGACATAGACTGTAACAGGGGCAGACTGACAACTCATGGGGCCCCTGGGAAAAGGAGATCATGGGGACCCTGTGTCCTTGCCCAAACTCAAAAAAGCCTATGAAAAAGGTACCAGGGGCATCTCATGGGCCCCCTACTGACCCCACGCCCTAGGGCAGTGCCCGAGTTTCCAAATGGTCAGTCCACCCCTGAGCAGAATACAGCTTGGCCTAAATGTCTGCTGTTTTTCTACTGGATCATCGTATTTGAAATTTCATCCAAAATATCAGTTTTTCTACTGGATCATCGTATTTGAAATTTCATCCAAAATATCAGTTTTTCTACTGGATCATCGTATTTGAAATTTCATCCAAAATATCAGTTTTTCTACTGGATCATCGTATTTGAAATTTCATCCAAAATGTCAGTTTTTCTACTGGATCATCGTATTTGAAATTTCATACAAAATATCAATTTTTCTACTGGATCATCGTATTTGAAATTTCATACAAAATATCACAAGGAGAAGCTATTGAAGTGGAGAAAAAGTGATTTGAACTTGTTTTAAAAAAAGACACTTTTTGGACACTAAAGTTTTATTTATTTATTTTATTTTATTTTTTGTTGTATATACCGCTCTCTCCTGGTTCTCATCCTACCTATCCCGACGCTCCTTCAGCGTTACCTACAATGGCGCCACCTCCCCCTCCCTCCCCTTCTCTGTTGGGGTCCCCCAAGGCTCTGTCCTTGGACCCCTTCTCTTCTCCATCTACACCTCCTCCCTGGGCACACTCATACACTCCCATGGCTTCAATTATCACCTAAATGCTGATGACACCCAAATTTACCTCTCCACCCCTCTCCTCACCCCCACTATCTCCACCCGCATCACTCACCTCCTAAACGACATCTCAGACTGGATGTCGCTCCATTTCCTCAAGCTTAACCTCTCCAAAACCGAACTCCTCGTCTTTCCCCCTGCCCACACCCCCCCCCCCCCCCATCCTATCCATCACCACCACCAACACCACTATCACTCCCGCCCCGCAAGCCAAAGTCCTTGGCGTCATTCTTGACTCGAACCTCTCCTTCCTCCCTCATGTCAAATCACTTGCAAACATCTGCAGGCTCCATCTCCGCAACATCTCCAAGATACGTGCCTTCCTCACCCCAGACACCACCAAACTTCTTGTACACTCCCTCATCATCTCACGCCTTGACTACTGCAACTCTCTTCTCACTGGCCTACCCAAGTGCAGGCTCTCCCCGCTCCAGACCATCCTGAACTCAGCGGCCAGACTCATCCACCTCACCACCCGCTCCACCTCTGCCACCCCCCTCTGCCTCTCCCTCCACTGGCTCCCTATCACCCAACGCATCAAATTCAAACTACTAACTCTGACCTACAAAGCCGTTCACAACACTGCCCCTGACTACCTCACCAACCTGATCCCCAAGTACCACCCTACCCGTACCCTTAGCTCTTCACAGGACCTCCTTCTATCCTGCTCCCTGGTCTCCTCCTCCCATGCACGACTGCAGGACTTCTCCAGGTCCTCCCCTATCCTCTGGAACTCACTGCCCCAATCCATCCGACTGTCGCCTTCCCTCCCCACATTCAGGCGCTCCCTCAAAACCCATCTCTTCAGGGAAGCCTACCCCACCCTCACCTAACGGCCATCCTCCCTCATTCCTCCCAGCACTTCATCCCCCTCAGCCACTTCATTCCCCTCAGCCACTTCCTATTGTTCCACTACCCCCCCTCCCTCCTAGATTGTAAGCTTGAAAGAGTAGGGCCCTCTTACCCCTCGTACGCTGTCTGTCTTTGTTGTACTGTGCCATGTATTGTCCCCCCTATATTGTACAGCGCTGAGCAAACCCTTTGGCGCTATATAAACTCGATGTAATAATAATAATAATAGATGTGTATTTGGGGTAATTAGCATTGCACATTTGGGTTTGGATATTTTATTTATCTTTATAGATTTATTTAAGAAAGGGAATATAGGGTAAATGAAAAGAGCAATTTGTTTATCAAATGGTCAGTCCGCCCCTAGACTGTAATCAACATTTTTTGGCTGGGACTTTTTTTGGTTGGAAAAAAACCCCAGGACTAGTGGGTTTCTAGATGAGTTTTTTTTTAGCTCTAAAAACGCTCTAACATTTAAAAGGCGGTAAAATGTGGTAAAACACTTTAAAAATAAAAAATACAAATTTTTTTATGGAAAACAAAAATTATAAAAAAAACAAATGCGGAAAAATGTGGCAAAACGCCGCTAAATGCTAATGCAAAAACGCTAAAAAAAGCTGAAAAACTCAAATTTTTTATGTGACTTTACACAGCTAACATTACCAGCATTATCAAAACACCCCGTATGCATGGAGCCTAACACAGAACACAAGAAAAAGGAGATAATACTAGACAGGAGCGGACTGACCATTGGGAAACTCAGGCACTGCCCGAGGGCCTGGGGTCAGTAGGGGGCCCCATGAGATGCCCCTGGTACCATTTTCATAGGCTTTTTTGAGTTTGGGCAAGGACACAGGGGCCCCATGATCCCCTATTGCCTGGGGGCCCCATGAGTTGTCAGTCCGCCCCTAATACTGGAAATGTATACTATAAAAAAAAACCCTGCTATATCCAATATTATTATATAGCGGTTTTCTATAGAATAGCTGTCCTGTATTATTCTTTCTTTCTTGTGTTTTATAAAATGTCTTCATTTTCTGCAGTGTCAATAAAATTTACAATGTAACAATGTTATTATTGCCACATTGTACCTGTAACTACTCTGGCCTATCCATAGCATATCAGAGTAGTGACTTTTTGTCTGCATAAAATATCAGCTAGAGTAACCTCTCAAAATAAAGAAAAAACTGTTTAACCCCCCTGGCGGTATTCCCGAGTGTAGCTCGGGGTAAAGTTTTCTGTACCAAAAGCCGTAACCCCGAGCTACACTCGGGCTTACCATGCGGCGCTGCTCTGGGATTCCCTGCAGCGCTTACCTTGTCCTTTGCTCCTGCGATGTCCCCCCTGCAGCGTCCCCGGCCATCTCCTCCGGCCGATGCCGGCATCCGGCTTCTGTGTTCCGGTCCCTGTGACGTCAGGCCGTACGGGCGGCGGCGGCGGGAAATTTGAAAATTTTTAAAAATGTCATTTTTTTCAAAACAAGTTTTACATAGTAAAACATTGCTGTTTCAACCCATTTCACATACATTTTGTCCCGAGTGCTTTGTCCGGCGCCCTGCCTGCATTTTGTCTGTTCTTTCTGCCTGGAAACTGAGAAACGTCCATGGCGTCCAAAAAGCGTCCCTTTAGGTCAAAAGCGGTTTTTAGACCGGCTAGAGAACAGCGATAGTAAATTAGAACCACTTGCAGAATTGAGTGATAATGATTCATGGGGGAAATTCCTCATCAGACACTGAAAACGATTCTGCGACTGAGCTCAGCGATGTGCGAACTTGGCGCTCTATTTCACATTTCAGTGTTTTTGGTTTGATTATATATTATTGAATTAAATGTATTATTATTATATTATTATTTTTTATGATTATTTATTAAATTATAAATTATGATTTTGTGTTTCAAGTTTTATCATTCCCGGGATGTTTACTAGACTCTTGTTCGGACAGATTTCAGTGAGTTATTCCTAAAAATTACAGCCTACAATAAAAAAAACTACATATTTCCATGCAAAAAAATGTACCGCTTTCAGCACAAAAAATCTGAAATAATCATATCGCCAGGGAGGCTAACCAGCCTCAATTAACTCTGACCATCTTTTGTTCCCTTAGTTATTATATTGCTGCCTTTTTATACGTATTTCTAATGTTTTACACGATTTGTTATTTTTTAACTATTAAAATTTGAATATTTAATATTAAGGGAAAAAAATTATATATATATATATATATATTTATATATGAACAAAAGCAAAACAGGGCGCACTCTCTTCGTGCATTACCGTGGAGAAACACAAATTTATTTAAAAGCATAAAAATGCATACTCACAACCCAAAGGGGGATATAAACAGAGAAGAAGAGTCTGTAAAGATGGTCCAAAGTGATGGTAGACCCTTGGTGAGGTAGGCTAATGCGTTTTGGGAGGCGGAGGCGTACTCTCTTCTTCAGAGCTAAAATGTAGGCCTGCTATTCCCTACATTTTAGCTCTGAAGAAGGTAGTATGTCTCCCGAAACGCGTTAGCCTACCTCACCAAGGGTCTACCGTCACTTTGGACCATCATTACGGACTCTTCTTCCCTGTTTTTATCCCCCTTTGGTTTGTGAATATGCATTTTTATGCTTTTAAATAAATGTGTGTTTCACCACGGTAATGCACGAAGAGAGTGCACCCTGTTTTGCTTTTGTTCACCAGTATCAAGATTTCTCGATCTTCTAAGGGCTGCACCTCAATGAATGACAGTTACAGTTATCCTAGTCTGCATGAAGATTTGAGTGCTGGTTTCGTTTGTTTATATACATATATAAATATATAATGAAATGTGACAATTTAATTCTTGTAATGGTGCAATGGACTGTACAAAAATAGTTTGTGCAGGAGCAT